CAAATAGTAAGAGAAAATCAGCCGGATTTATATTTTGATTTTCTGGCCGTGAAGACACAGGCGAAGAATTTTAATAGACAATTGTTCGTGATGATGCAGACACTAACTATATATCAAGTTGACATCAATCAAAGCTATCAAAAATTAAGGTTATTTAAAAAATATAATATACAAAGTAATGGTTACCAAACAGTTTCCAACATTTCAGGCACTCCACTAGAAAACTGAATTAATGAGAAAGTCTGAAACTAGAGACTATAAATGAGAAGAAAAATAAAACAAGTTTTCCTACATTTCCTTCCTTTATTGGATTAGGTTAGGTTAGGACATCAGTCGAAGCTATCAAAATTTACGTTAGTTAAAAAAATATAATATACAAAGTAATGAATATGGTTACCAAGCAGTTTCCAACATTTCATGCACTCCACTAGAAAATTGAATTAATGAGATAATCTATAACTAGAGACTACTAATATGAAGAAAAATAAAACAAGTTTCCTACATTTCCTTCCTTTATTGGATTAAGTTAGGTTAGGTTAGGTTAGGACATCAATCAAAGCTATCAAAATTTTACGTTATTTAAAAAAATATGATATACAAAGTAATCAATATGGTTATCAAGCAGTTTCCAACATTTCAGGCACTCCACTAGAAAACTGAATTAATGAGAAAGTCTGAAACTAGAGACTACAAATGAGAAGAAAAATAAAACAAGTTTTCCTACATTTCCTTCCTTTATTGGATTAGGTTAGGTTAGGACATCAGTCGAATCTATCAAAATTTACGTTATTTAAAAAAATATAATATACAAAGTAATGAATATGGCTACCAAGCAGTTTCCAACATTTCAGGCACTCCACTAGAAAATTGAATTAATGAGATAATCTGTAACTAGAGACTACTAATATGAAGAAAAATAAAACAAGTTTTCCTACATTTCCTTCCTTTATTGGATTAGGTTAGGTTAGGTTAGGTTAGGACATCAATCAAAGCTATCAAAATTTTACGTTATTTAAAAAAATATGATATACAAAGTAAATAAATAAATAAATATTTCCAACACTCACACCAATTAGCCTAGCCCCAAAGTAAGCACTGTAAAGGCTTGTGTTATGGGATACTAGGGTAACGGATAGAATACATATATAAGTATATTTATATGAAATACATATTAAACATCCATGACTGGAGTACAAATGCTCGTATTCTTCACACAGACATCTGCCCCCACCGGGATTCGAACCCGGGACCTCTCTCAGCGACGCCATGAAACCCGGCATATAAACCACTCGGCCACGGAGGTCGTCAAAAAAAAGTAATGAATATGGTTACCAAGCAGTTTCCAACATTTCAGGCACTCCACTAGAAAACTGAATTAATGAGAAAGTCTGTAACTAGAGACTACGAATATGAAGAAAATTAAAATAAGTTTTCCTACATTTCCTTCCTTTATTGGGTTAGGTTTATCTTTTCAATTTCACTTGTTTCCTTTTATATTACTGGCGCAAAATTGTAAGGAGAGGTTTCATAATATTTCCTCGCTAACCGCCATCAATCATCAATGCGAAAAAAGAAACACGGGTCTCATCTACATTTTATATTAAATTTGAAACAAATATTGCGATATTAACAGATATCTACGAAAATTATAATATCTGTACCCCTAGCACGAACCAATATCGAATTCGTATCGTTTGCGAGTCCGTAATGTCATTGTCAAATGTGTACTGATTTTTAGGTCTCGTTACGTACTTTGTGCCGCTGCTGTTCAAGTTTCCATACAAAATTTGACATTGAAATTTCAGTTTGCAAAGTATTTGATTTCGATAATGGTTCGTGCTACTGGTTACGCGTATAATGTCCCGGCCATTTTTCGCATTATGGCACTGACCGTCAAACTACCTCATATGGACTTCCGGCCATATAAAATGATGATATCTAAAAATTTCTCTATGAAGACTATATTAAAACCTTATATTACTGGCTACTTATTATATAAGCTATTAGATTATGTATAACTAGCAAACCAGTGAACCAAATGTAAATGTTCACCAAAACCTGATTTAAAAAAAAAATGTATTTAATTAATTGAGAACTTTGGAGATTTTGTGTGGTTTCGTTTGAAATTCGTGATTTCTCGAAAACCGGAAGTGCTACGTTACTCAAATCCGGTTTGTAGTCTTATCAGACTATTCTTAACTTATAACTCAAATATTCTCTTTATCTATCTCTTACGGTTTGGCCGCTGAAACAGCACCACAGACGGACGGACGAACGAACTTGTCTAATAGATAAGAGATTGAGTAAAGTTTTATTGTAAATTTAATTACTAATTCAAAGGTGAAATTGAGACAATTTCGATTTTTCTCCAGTTTGCTGCATTAAAATTCTTGCAATAATTAACTAAAAGGCTTTGATAGAAGTTATATTTGGGTTGTTTATCACAAGATTAAATATATAATAAAAAACAATTAAAATATACGCTAATGAAGGAAGGCCAGGTAAAGTCATATATCACTTTGCGGGAGTTATAATTATGTATGCCATCTTTGTCTTTCTCCTACACTGCAGTAAAGTTTGAGAGAGATGAGAATAGTTTAACCAAGCTAAATTAATCTCTGAAGTGGCGCGGTAATAAGGCGACCTTTTAAAGGCTGGTGCTCAGACTTTTTTTGACAGCGTCCTTTTAAAGCAAGGTCGACATAAGCTTGGACGAAGGAATTTTATCGCGAGCACGTTCGGCTTTAAATTAAGAAATTTAGACAGCCTTTCGTAATGGTCAGTAATGGGATGGGTGACCAAGAATTTATTGCAATAGAGAACAGTATGAGGCTTGGAAATGCAAAAAATTACTGCCATAGCTACACCTCCCATCCAAATATGTTTATGTTCGTAAAATATTAACCGAATTGTTGCCCGGAAACTAAGAGCGGTAACTTGCCAGCCTGTCGCCTAAAATTGTCCAAATACTCAATTCCTTGTTAGTATATCACTTTTTACTCACCAAAGTTAGCAGGCCGCGCATTCCTTGTATTCCTTTTTTATTTAAAAGAGCGGCAAGCTTATTTACTGCCCCTGCTTTACTCCCTCCCTTGGGGGACGATCGCTTCCGATGTAGCCTTAGAGGCCTTCCCAGCCAGAGGCAGCCCCTACGGGTTTTTTTGTCAATACCAGTCTGACATAGCCGGCTGTAGGGTATCAATGAGGATTTTTCACGCGCTCTCCCGCCTGGGAGGAAACAAAAAAAATCTGTTGTCTGTAAAGTCGGTTTACTGACGATAGTTGAACATGACAACGTTTTTTTACATTGTACATAGTTTTTACAAGTCTGAATGTGCTTTGAGCAATTGTTTTACAACTTTTATTTACAAGTTTTAAACATGTGTGATATTTAACTTCTTACAATTTGTGTTATTCTGTTGAGTTGAGATGATGTAAAGCTATTATTGTATAGCAGCTGTCCACGCGGACGCATCGCTCACTCAAGTAGGAGAGAGACAGATGTCAAACGCTGCCGAACGCGGAGGCCGATTGTGCCTCTTTGTCGCTCGTCCCCAGATAGGCGCTCTAATTGGTGCGGTAAATCCGTTATGCCCTTTCGCTCTTTTGTCCTCCTCCTCGTCATGTCCAGTACGCGTGGCATCACATGCAGATGCGCGGCCATTCGGAAACGGGTGCCGCGGCCACATCCGCCCTCTTGGGCGCCCTTGCGTGACGGTGCAGAAGTATTATCTGGTTTTTAGGGACCCTGTTCACTTCATCCGGCCCCAAGGCTGAAAGGAACGGGGAGGAGTCCCATCCCACATACCTTCTTCTCGCACCCCCAGGGGTTGAAAGGTCCTTAAGGCGTTTCCCAGACACAAAAAAAGCCATCACATGCAGTGGGGGCATTAAAAGGCCGATGATAATACCAACCTCCCTTATTTCCATATCTCGCGAAATTAATAATTAGAACCGCTGCAAAATCATTTAGGAAGACAATAGGGGCTGCGATGCCGACCGGCCATTGTTTCCGAGTGACATTGTCATTCAAGGTAACAACAGCATGTATTCTTCATTCATTACGCATCGTATTGCAGACCTCCCGCTTTTGCGACGGAAATGAAATGAAAATTTATTTGCATGAAACATAGTTTGGTACAGCTGGTAAATAATATAAAAAGTTCCATATGTGTCCCCCTGGGAAGAGCATACAAAATACAAATAAATTTTCTAAAAATTCAAATTTAAATTGAGTAATTGTTGCATTCCAAATGTCAAATTTATTATTTATTTTAATTTTTATTTATTCAATTAATACATGTCAAATTTGAAATGGCAGAATAAAGCTGTATATTGTGGCAAAAACTTTTTTTTGTGGCAAAAAATTTCTTTGCGCTACTTTAGTTTTTCTTTATTAAGAGAATGTTTTTATTTTACACCTTCTATAAACCAGAGTATGATCATCTTACTAAATATTTGGTTCCTGACCTGCATTATCTCTTTCATATCTCTTAAAATAGCCAAAGACGAATTAAGTACTGTTTGTAATTGACGAGTTCCATTGTTTTCTCCCAAAATACTGATCAGGTACTCACCAAAATAATATAAAACATATCATATCGCCAAAAAAACTGATTCAAACAAAAAGAAATCATCAAAATCGGTCCCCACATGTCGGAGATATGCGCGAACAACAATAAAAAAATATAATGACGAATTGAGAATGTAGGAAGGCCAAAGGGGAAGATCTTCCTCCGAGCTGGGTGATGTTAGCTCAGTATATATGAACTGTTGGCTACCGAATTTTACTTGCGCGATGTAGGCTTCCTTACGTTGTGAACGCAGCGCCGGTAGTGCCATCTCTTGAGGAGGCGTAAGATTATTTCCTCTATGTTAGTTATATGTGGAGCGTGTAGATGTCGCCGCCACAAGAACCTCCTACAGGTGGAATACCCGTGATATTATATTATGTTCACGTGCTGAACTAGAGCAATTAAAGAATGATTTGCTACTCTCAGTGCAAGAATACAGCAGAGGTTCTGAAAGCACGGGAGACGCAGTGTTGGTTGGCCCGGCCACAAGGTGGACCGACGATCTGGTGAACATCGCGGGAAGCCGCTGGACCGCATCCAGTGCACACACATAGGCAACTTCTTCTGTTTGTTATTTTAATTTCAAATGTTTGTTATTATAGCAGTCAAATTACAGAAGACCACAATAAAATAACAGTAACTTTGAGTCGTGTCTCTGTCGGTGAATAAAGTTCCAGGCAGGGCTTGTAATCGGTTTCGAAAATACCGTTAAATAAAGGTTAATACCGGTTTTTAGTAAAGGTTTCGTTTGGAGTGAGTCCGGAATGAAAGCGGTACCTAAAACCTTAATAAACCGGTTTAATCCAGAGCGACACGTGCACGCGTCTTGAAGTTTGTTTTGTTTGAACTAATCAAGTCACAACTTGTTAATGCTCAGAGATTGATGCATTTATTGACACGTTTGCTAGCGTCTAGTGAGTCAAGTTATTCATTTTGTTGTTGTGTATTGATACACTACTTCACTCACTCGCTCTGTAGTTGGAAAGAAACTGACATAAATTCAATATAAATTTGAATTGAAACGGCGAAGGCGATGCCATCAGTAAGAGCGAAATGAAACCCTTTAAAAACCGCTACATTGATTCAAAACCTATTTGATTTCGCTTTTTAGGAAAACCGGTTTTTTAAGGTTAAGGTAGAGCCAAACCTAAATAAAACGCTCCTAATGTACTTGATACTGATTAAGGTTTGAAAATTAACCGGTAAACAAGCCCTGGTTCCAGGGCTCTACTAGGCAGTGTAGGCAACGGCATGCCGATATAATAGTAACTGTGGGTCATGTCCTGTCTCTGTCGATGAATTAAGTTCTAGGGCCCAACTGGATAGGCGAGTGAAATTTCGGTATCGCAAGCATCTTAAGGCTATGGCGACCGCTTACCATCAAGCGGGCCGTCATAACATGAATGAATGTATTATTTATTGCACTTAGACAGTTTTTCAGAAATACAAAACAAAAACAGAAATGAAATAACAAAAGACGGCTTTTTTGCTAAGGTATCTCTATTAATATTTTGGTAAGCTATCTCTACCAGATAACCGAATATGCGCAGAACGAGAACTAAAGCATAGAAAGAATTTGCATTCAACTCATATAAGTTATTTTATTTTTACAAATCTATAGACCAAAAAAAGGGATAAATATTATGGTGCCATGAACAGTGTGCAATGTTGTTTATTAATGATACCTTGATATGATCTTCGTTACCTTTACGATACCTAATCAAAAAGCAATTTAATGTCAAATGAAACCTGCCTTAAACTCTACTAATACTCTTTGGTTGGGTGACACTTTCGCTGGAAAATTTTCTTCAATTTACTGCCTATAGGAGTGTACGCTAAACGTCAAAGCATTACTTCTAGACTTCTATGCTTGTTCTTGTTCTGAGGGCGGGCAATAATTGCTACACTTTTTACGTTAAAATAAGTTGTTGAAGATTATTTTGCTTAGCATTTTTTTACATGTAGTTTCACCGTATTACGCGCTTTCGTGACAAGGTTCATCGCGTGCCGCGGCAATGGATATCGATCCAATGTTACACTACTTGGTTTGTGTAAGCTATTTATTTTATCGGAAACAATATTTTGTTGAAAATTCATATTTGGAATACAGTTCACCAAATTAAGGGCTTAGAAGTGAACACTTTATGTTTTAAATGACAGATTATGCTTACAGGATCTTAAAAACACCTTTTTTTTTATTTTAAGCCCCTGCATTATTGAGTAAAGAAGTGTATGCAAGAAATCTAACCTTCGAATATAAGTATTTTTTAAAAAAAATCTAAATTATAATTTTTGTCCCATGAAATTTTGTCTTCGGCCAAATACCAATCTATCTATATATATAAAACTCAAAGGTGACTGACTGACACATCCCAAACGACTGGACGGATCGGGCTGAAATTTGGCATGCAGGTAGATGTTATGACGTAGGCATCCGCTAAGAAAGGATTTTGATCAATTCTACCCCCAAGGGGATAAAATAGGGAATGAAAGTTTGTATGAAACTTTGTCAATTTTAAACCGATCGGGCTGAGACTTTGCATGCAGGTATAAGAAGAATCATAGATGAATGTCATTGTGTATAATACAAGCCTGAAAACAAAAACTGTAGTCTACATTTCAGCTCTACACCGAAGCGAAGCGAGGCCGCTAGTCTCAATGGACCTCTTGGAGTGCTTCAATTTCAACTTAATAGCGTTGCAACTCTTTAACTAGTTCATATTCTGCGCCTATCCTGTATAAACTACGTACATTCCATGATGCAAATCGGATTTCCTTATTTCCTTGCGTATTGTCGTCGTTGAGATCGGATCGTATTCTTCTATGTGTCGGTTTCGTAACTTGGGATTTATATTGGGAACATGTACTCGCTGTGTATATGTTGACTTATCTTCCTTCTGCGAAACAGAATATTATGAAGAAGTCGCGTACCCACTCTTTGTAGGTACTCGTAGTTTATTACAATACACATTTACAGCTCTCTTTGTGGATGAAAGCGAACTGTCCGCTCTAATATCACATTGAGAAACCGATCTAGTAACTTAAGACAACTAGATTATACAGATACCTGCATGATCCCAAATTATAATAATTTTTATGGAACAAGGGTGTGCCAATATATATTACCAAAAATTATTAACGAGCTACCTACAGAACTACAATTATTGTATACTACTTGTAATAACATTTGTAAAATAAAAAATAAACTTAAAAAACACTTTAACAGTAATTCAGGAGGAACTACAGCAATATGTATAACCTAGTTAGCATATAAAATTGAGCAAATTGTAAGATTTAATTTGATATCATTTATATACTTAGTACCTAAGTAAAATTAAGATCAACATCTATATCTGCAACTTCTGCTACGGCGGATGCTACATATTAACAATCCATTAAGGGGATTAGATATGTATATATATGTAATTTAATTTTAAGCATGTTGCAATAATAAATAAAAAAAAAAAATGCCATCTAAACGCTTGTAAATTGTTATGCGACACTAAGCGGCGTGGCCTTCGCAAAGGGCAAAGGCCACGAAGGTCTTTGTTCGAAAGGCCTTGCAATCTTCTCGGCTGTCAGATGTCAGAATTTGAATGGGTATTTTCGTACTCATTGATTTAAGTCGTGCTTTTCATGTTGGTTTTCATGGGCTGGATGAGAGTAGCACAAAATCGGGAGCAGTGGCGTGCATTAGGGGAGACCTATGTCCAGCAGTGGACGAACATGGGTTGATTACATAAATATTGAGAGAAATTTCCCGTTATGGTCAGAAGACTGAAACCATGAGTTTTTAATGTTAGAAGGAGTGGCAGACTATCGTAGAGCCCGCCTGATGGTAAACGGCCACCATAGGCTATAGACGCTTGTAATACTAAAAATATCACTTTTACTGTTGCCTGCCCTAACACCACGTGGAGCCCTCGGACCTTACTCACCGTCAGAAGCACAACACCATCAAAAGGTACTGTTATTTTACTGTATGAGGAGGAGGAGGAGCTTGATGGCGGAGGTGATTAGCGCGTTCGGCTGCGATCGTTGTAGTTAAGCAACTTTCGCAGTGGTCGGTTATTGGATGGGTGACCAAAAAATCTCCGTGCTTCGGAAGGCACGTTAAGCCGTTGGTCCCGGCTGCACCTGCAGTCTTTAGCACTCGCCAATCTCTCGGGCTCGCGTGGTGGGTCATTGCCCTATCTCCTTATTCCATCCATAAGGAAGGCCTGTGGCCCAGCAGTGGGGATATTAAGAGGCTGATGATGATGATTATGATTTTACTGTGATCTCCTCAAAGTTTTTCTAAAAGCGATAATTAAAGAAGCGTTGAAATTAAATTGTCTAATTGAATCAAAGACAAAGCGATTTTGTACACATCTGACCCAATTATTCCAACAGGCTTCTCTTTAAGAATTATATCTATATATATAAAAATGAAACCCATTTTCCGTTGTCACGACATAACATGAAAACGGCTTGACCGATTTGGCTGATTTTTTTTTGTAGTTTTCTAATACTCTGTACCTTGTACAGGAAAAACTTTTCTTACGGAAAAAAATAATTTAATTTCAATTTTTTTTAATTTTTAATTTTTTTATAATTATTTTATTTAATAAAAATTAGTAAAGTCCTCAGGTATGGCGAGACCAGGGAAATAAGGATTCATTTTTATATGGAGGATATTATAGATTCCAGTTCAAATTGAATAGGTACTCATACATAAGATAGGTCAGCTATACAAAATAAAGTAGTGCATCAAAGCTACGCTAAGGCGGTACGAAGTTCGCCGGGTCAGCTAGTCTATTATAAATATAATACATTGACAGATTAACGATATAATTCTATCTTTACAAATAATGTTGCTGTTCATTGAATTTTGTTTAGCTTGTTCCGTCTGTTTTTCTTTACAACCAAGCGAATTATGTCTTCAAAGTTTTTAATTTGTATGGAAAACAAATTAAAAAAATCAAGAGAATTGTTCTGTGCACACAATTTGATTTAATGAGATTTGTTTTTTAAAGAGTTCCAGCGATATAGCAGAGAACATCAGATATTGGTTTGACAAGGACTTTAAGATGAACACCATGAAACCGCATTGCGGTATAATTTATGATCCGGAGTGGTATTGTTATTGGTCCTCAGTCCATTTAAAATGGCCTTTGCCGAATCAGATCTGCGTTCAAATTTAACATTAAAAATGCATGTGTCTAAGCTCCATTGCGCACTTTGGTCGCATATTAAACTAAGGGACTTCAAGCTTGAATCTGTGAACTTTAACCTGAAAATTACACCAGTCTCTCGGTTTCATTATCAATAGAGCATATACTAATATGAGCAGCTGCGATCGTTGAAGTTAAGCAACTTTCGCAGTGGTCGGTCATTGGATGGGTGACCAAAAATTTACTATCTCGAGCTCCTCCGTGCTTCGGAAGGCACGTTAAGCCGTTGATCCCGGCTGCATCTGCAGTCGTTAGCACCCGCCAATCCGCACTGGGCTCGCGTGGTGGGTCATGGCCCAATCTCCCTATTCCATCCATAGGGAAGGTCTGTGCCCCAGCAG